TTTATCAGATATACCCATTTTTATCAGTTTTTTTCACGTTATTTGCATTCATCGCCTGTTTTCTTTTTACATTGGCGATGATCGCCAGTTTTCCAATATTGGCGTCAAATGCCAATATTTATTCTACACACCAAACAATTTGTGAAAAACGTGGAACGGCGATTGCTGGCGCTTTTCTCGTGCATCGAGAAAAGAGCAAAATTCAAAAAGTTCAAAAGAAATTAATTTGTTCGTGAACCGACATATGGATGGATTTGAGACTCTAGGCATCACTTTTCCCCTCAAATTTTCCTCTTCTAGGTCATTCCACGTCGATCCAAGCCAAAAATGCCACGCCAATAATAGCACGCCAAATAAAAATGCAGCAAATTTTGAACAAAAATAATAATTTTCCCTCAAATCTACAGTAATCCGACTGCTTCAAATCCTATCAGGGGTCTCAATTCTAAATTTTATGGGTTGATTTTAATATCAGCAAATTTCTCGTAAAATTCTGGACAAATCCTACCTATTTTCATTAAGAATGGTTCGACAGATTTTTTGAAAACTTTCAAAAACCTTCAAAAATGACAAAATTCAGTTGATTTTTTAGAAAGTCTATCAGGGCTTTTTTTTGGGCCAAATCAGACGTTTTTCAGATCATTTGATTTGTTTTCAAATTCTCTACAATTTCTACCTATTTTGAAAAAAAAATTTTAGACCCAGAATTTTTTAATGCCAAAAAAGCTGATTTTCCTCTGTATCGAGAAAAGCGCCAATAAATCAGAAAAAAATCAGAAAAACTCGGTTTCCAATATTATTCGCCGTGTCCTATGAATTGCAATGTTTACTTTACTAGGGATAAATCTGAGCGTCTCCAAGTTACACTTCATGACCTATATCATTAGAAAGCCCAGGGAATTTCCATTCTGAATGTGTTTTCTGTTTTTGCGAAACAGCAAAGAACTTCTAGAAAAATGGGTCAAAAGATAACTTTCAGTTGATTTCAAATTTGAAACTTGGAAAATGCAATTTTCTATTTATTCAAAATGAAACTTGAATGTGTTTTCTGATGATATAGTTCATGAATTGCAACTTGGAGACGAATTTTAGATAGATCCTTAGTTAGAGAACCTAAAAGTTTTTGAGTTTCAAATTTCAAATTGTCTAAGATTTCGAGATCCCGAATTTCGAAACTCGCAAATTTCGGGATGTTTTTGGATTTCTGAGAAATTACAGAATTTCGAAATTCTGTTTCCTTTTTTTCCTTTTTTCAGTTTACAACTTTTTGATATCTGTTACAGAAAATGAGATACCGTAAAACCTTCACAGATATCTTTCACAGAAAATGAGATATATAGGCTCAAAGTGGACGATCAGGGTGTCGTTCTATTAGAGGTTTTACGGTATCTCATTTTCTGTAACAGATATCAAAAAGTTGTAAACTGGTAAATTCTTTATTATAATATCATCAATATTTCATCAATTGACAAAGTTTTGATACCGTTTACAGGAATCGAGATAAATTGGCGCTTCTAAATACCGTATATTCTCTTTGAGTTCAGGAAACACCAGCTAAAAACCTAAAAACCGCGTAGTTCAGATGGCAAGCGACTTGTCAGCTTTGAGCTAATTTATCTCATTTCCTGTAAAAATTATTGCAAGTCAGCTGATAAAATTTTAATGATCTTTTGATAGAGGTTTTACCAGTTGACCAACTTTGGATATCTGTTACAGGAACCGAAATAAATTGGGTTAAAGTTAAAATTAATAGGTAACAAAAACTAGGAATTTTCGAAAAGTTCTGTGAATGAAAAGTTTTCAATCTAGGTCTGTTAAACATCCTTCAAAATGTTCAAAGTGGTTGGAAACCTGACAGACGACCTCCAGACTACCTGAAAAGTATCAAAATAAACTGAAAAATATTTTTATTTTAAACTAAACATAAATATTATGAAAAGTAACAAGTTTCAAAAAGTGTACTGATTAGCCAAACTAGAAAGTCTGTTGATCCCTTTCGCCACGTAGAGGCTCAGTACATGAAAGGGAAACAAGGTTTATTTTCCAATGGTATCACCTTCTAAAACCCATAGAGGGTGGAGGGAGGGGTCCCCCACCTCCTAACAAAAAAAACAACAAAAAGTCACCCGAAAAACCCCTCTTTTCGGAGACCATTGTCGTTTAATTTTCAAAAGCTCCTTTTCCCCGATAAGAAGCCACATTGCATACCGTTTTCATTGTTGTCTCAATATTTTTAATCTTTGATAAAATCCTTGCTACTCGGGGACGTTCAGTGATAAAACACCTAGCCATGAACCCGAACATGGCGACCCTTAGGGCCTTTTAGTACTTTTTCGCATAGAACCAATCGACAGAAAAAAGCAAAAGAAACAACAACAAGCAGCGTTATGCAAAGAGCTTATTACCAGTGAGAAAGTGCCTGTGAAAATTATCCAGCAATAAATTTTAAAGGGGCGGATTTCACAGAGAACTGATTTCTTTTCAGTACGTGGAATTTTTGAAACGTGGATAGATGGAGGGACCGTGACCTAATATTGATTGATTTAATAATTTATTACGTTACATGAGTAAAAAATTTTATGAAAAGTTTAAAAATTAAATATAAATTGACGTGACCTTTGAAGAACAGTGAAGTAAATAGGTTAAATCGCGCCGAAAACCAAGGTTTCGTATGGTATCTCATTTTTTCCTTGTTTCTTTCAAATCCAACCAAACGCCAAACAGTTTGTATTAACTTATCCTTTCCCATCCCGTTCCCAATCACCCTTCATTTTCTCCTGCCATCCCACCCACGTCTTCTTTTTCTTCTCTACTCCTAAACGCCTACATTTTTATTGGACGTGTTTGTTTCAACCAAAAAACCATCTTCTCAAGAATGTTTGTATGTTGTTTCACCCCCACTTGAAAAACTTCTTCTTCTTCTCATTTTCTTCATGATCGGTTCCTTCAAGAAAAAAGTTCAGTTAAGTGGAATGTAACGCCGTACTACGTTCTTCTCTGTTACTGTTACACACAAACTGTGTCTTCTTCATCTTTTTCTTTTTTTCAATTAAAAAATGACTTCCCCGTTTCTCGAAGTGAGAAGAGTCGTATCATTACTATTTTGCGCAAGGTTAACTACTACATTTTTAGTTCCGGATACTTTCCATTCTGTAAAATGTGAAATCTATCTGCCACGTGTTTTTTCAGAGATTCCCATCTTTAGATGCCCATCTGTTTTTCTTTCCTCACTAAGTTTTAGCTACCAACATGCTTCTAGAATAATAGACACGACCGTTTACTACCATTCTCTTCTGAATGCCATCTGGCCATTTTTAGGGGTAGAAAGGGCAGAAGAATGGCGGTGTAGTAACGGACAAGACAACGGAAAAGAAGAAGAGGAAGAAGTGATGATTTCAATCTAAACGCCTTCTCCTCGTTTTTCGTATTTTTCGTCATTTCAGTTTACACGCTTTTTGTGCTGTAACCTAGTACTACAAAGCTTCAAAGTTCATTATGTCTTGTGAGAAGAAGGTGGAGAGAAGAGACCTTGAACTTGTGTTAATTTCTACTCATGACACTCGAATTTTTTGTGACCTTTGGCTTAAGCTTCTTTTTCTTTTCTTAATCAGGTTAGGATCAAAATTCTTTTTTTTCAAATCTCTCGTTTTCACGGATTACTGTAATTAAACCAATACCGTCAGCACTCTAGTAGAACGACCCAACTTTCAAGTTTGAGCCTGTATATTTCTTTTCTTGGAAGAGATATCAAAAAGTTGTCAACTAGTAAAATGTTTATCATAATATCAAAAGTAATTGGTTAGTGGACAATTTATTGACATCTTTAAAAGCAACCAAGATGAATTGGATCAAAGTTGACAGCTCGAGTTCGACAAGTATGGTTGTGCCGACCCGGGCCAACCACTGGTCAAGCCATACCTCAGTTCACTTTCGGAATTTTGATACAACGCGAGAAAAAAATTATAGAACTAAAAGAAATCTACAAAAACGATATCAAATTCAGTTTTAGCGGACAGGCCATTTTTCATCCAGAGGCCGTTTCATAGCAGATCCAGAAATATCGGTTCGGGTAGTTTCGCAGCCTCTCGTTCGAAACTCGGCTAGCGAATATAAGCAATTTGCAAACCATTTTGTAGATTTTGTTGAGTTCTACATTTTAATTATTGAATCATTCATAAATTTCAGGCTTGAACCGCGTTATGCGCTATGCAAGTGGTTGGCTCGGGTAGCCCCCCTCAGCGCGTCCGAGTTTTATACATCAAAACTTTGAGCTCAATTATCTCGATTTCCGTGAAAGATATCAAAAAGTTGTCACATAATATGTCACATAAATGTTTATCATAATATCACCAACATTTTATCAGTTGACTACTTCTCGATATCTTTCACAGAAAATGAGATATATGAGCTAAAAGTTGGCGGTTTGGTTGTGCTTCTAATAGAGGAACACAACGCCAACTTTGAGTCAATTTATCCCGGTTCCCGTAAAAAATATTATAAATTTGACAAATGATAAAATATTTATAGTTATGATAAAAATTTTTTACGTTGACCTCTTTTTGATATCTGTTACAGGAAATGAGATATATGGGATCAAAGATAATGGTTTGAGAGGCATTCTATTAGAGTGTTTACGATAGCATCTTTGCCTATTGTCATTTCTAAACTCTGGCTGTAAACTCTGAATTTCTAGTTATGACCTTTCATTCAAATTACTCGAATTATTAATTTGTTTCATCTCCTACTTCTAACCCGTTTCTCGCAAATTCTACAATTTTTATTTCCGCATGCTTGAACCAACAATCTCAATCAAAGAAATGAGTTTTTTGAAGACCTCAAAAATCATTTGGAATTCGAAACATGCCAACATCTTCTTTCCACTACCTTCTCCCTTAATTTTCCGTTCCAATGCCATTCATATCTTCCGTCTCTATCGAGTTTCTTCTCTCCTTCGATTTGAATTCTGAATTCTTGAATCTCATTTCTCAGATTCTTTCTCAATGCTTGAGTCCCTTTTCGTTCTTCTCGTCTCTCTGGTTTCGACAGTATATGCTTGGCCGGATGGTGCTCCGTGTGTACATGCTGCTTTCGAGAGTATGAATCCATTGGAAGCAGTCGAACATCAGGGAGGTCTTCAATTATCAACACCTCCATATGAGATCGCAGTGGATCAGAAGTGTTATTGGAGGAATCAACCTATAGGGTGTAAGCTTTTTTGTGAATTGTTTGAGTTTTTCAAATTAATACTTCTACAGTAACCCTTCAAGGACACAACGAATCAATTTGGTTCAAAGGATTTGTGATTCAGCCTTTCAAATGGAACAACGATCAACTCGGAGAACGATTTGGACAACTTGTGAGACTCGATGATAACGGGTCATGGCAGCAGCAATGCTTCAGGTTAGTTTTTGAATTTAGGAAACGAATTGGGAAGATTTGTTTAGGTATCAAGTGTCTGCTACTCATTCTCACGACGAGAAGAAGAAGCACATTAAGATGTGGTGGAAGGTGGATGATGAGGTGGACACAGTTCAGTTTGTGTGAGTTTTTTAGAATATCTTTATTTTTTCGTAAATTACTTTGATAGTTTCCACAGAAATTATGAGCGTTGGGATTCAAATTACTGTTGGCACTCTAATAGAGAACCACCCAAACCGGCAGCTTTGATATCATTTTTCTCATTTCCTATAAAAGGTCTAAAAGTGGTCAACTCGCAAAATGTATATCATAATATCACCAATATTTTATCAATTAAAAGATTTTTGACATCTTGCACAGGTACCGAGATAATTGAGCTCAAACTTGACAGTGTGGGGGAATGATTTTCAAAGCGAATTACAAGTTTTACTGTAGTTCATAGAATGTGTCAAATAATTTTTTTTTTCATTGATAACTTTCTGGTATATTTCACAGAAATTGTGATAATTGTGAACCAAATTTATAGATGAGATGTATCATGAATGAAAACTTGCCATCCCTTCATCAATTAAATACCGTACCATATACATACACTTTGAGCTCAATTATCTCGGTTCCTATATGAGATATCACAAACCTGTCCACTCATAAAACATCGGTAATATAATCATAAAAATTTTATCAGTTGACAACTTCTTGATATCTTTCACAGGAATCAAGATATGTGCTCAAAGTCGGCGGTGTGTGAAAGACGGACGCTCGGCGGGCCAAACAGCACCGGCTATTTGCCCGGCGCATAACTCGGTTCAAGCTTGAAATTTCCAATTTCTCTGAAAATTCAAATGTAGAGCTCAACGAGATTTACAATCTACAAAATTATATACAATTTAACTATTTTCGCTAACCGAATTTCGAACCAGATGCATAAACACTACCGGACCGATTATTCGGGTTCTGTAATCGAAGCCCAACCCATACGTGCGCTTTGAGCTCAATTATCTCAGTTCCTGAAAAAGATAGGAAAAATCTGTAAACTGATAAAATATTGGTGGCATTATGATAAATATTTTATCAGTTTAACACTTTTTGATTTCTCTTATAGGAACCGAGATAATTAAGTTCAAAGGGTACGTATGGGATGGGTTACTATTAGAGCAGTTGCGCTATGATGTTGAGTCTGAACACCTCGATCTCTTTTGGAATATGTATCTATACCTAAACTTTAAATGACTTTTCTCATTTCCAGCGCTACCGTTGTCAAACATCAAACTCAATTCTGGGTCAAGTCAGTCCGTTCCCGTCCACTTCCACCTTGCCGTCTGAATCGTGATGGTTTCCCCAACTACCAGGCACCAGCTCCATCAGTTCCACCACAAGTCAAACAGTTCAAAATGGAGACGTTCCGTGTATTCGATTCGATTGTGCGTAGGCGCCCATTCAACTAACTGCACTTTTTATGTACCGATTCATATTTATTTTGTTGATTTAGATCTCACCTTCTTTCACATATTTTTTTTGATTTTTTAATTTGTTGGTTCACTAAAAAATAGAATAGTTGCTTGGTTCGCTCTCACACTGCTTTCAATGATACAAAATCTAAAAAACTTATTCAAAAATTATAAAAAATTCAGGGAGCCCAAGCCCTCGAACAATCTCTTCCACAACAACCCCAGTTCCAGTCGGCTCAGCAACAGGTCAAGAGTTGTTTTCCTCTGCACGGTTTTCTCTCTTTTCAGAGCCACACACACTTTCAGCAATATTCTAGCTTTGCACTTTTTATTTGTTTTACGAAGAACACTTTAACCGTTTTGCAAATGTTCAGCCACCACAGCCAGTCTCCTCCACGACACCACATATGTCGAGAATTATTCCAGTGGCAGGTATGGAAATCATGCATAGACGTATGTGTAAGAATGTAGGATTTAGAGGATTTCATTTCGGTCGGTCGAACATGAGCGACCGCCGACCGACCAAACCGTTCGAATTTTTGCATTTACTTGTTGAATTTTTTGCGTAAATTCGGTCGGCGCAGGAATGTTCGGAACGGAATTCCCAAAATTCCGAAGTGGTAAAAATTGAAAAATTCCGGACATCTAAAAATTTTAAAAAGCGGAAAATTCCGAAAATTATGGAATTCAAAAAAGGAAAGTTCCGAAATTCCGAAAATCGAAGTTTTCGACATTCCGAGAACGCCATTCCGAACATCCCAGAGTCGGCGGTCGGATCAATTTCCCGACCGAATGGAACACGAGTTATAGAGAATTTTCAGTTGAAGATCTTTTGTTCTTCATTAGAATGTGTGCATTAGTTTCAGTGAGAGAATAAGTTCTTGGTAGATTTGTTGCCCTTTTTGGTTCATAGTTTTTCTAGTTTTGCTCATTCAGATGGCTTCCAACGTGCAAATTCTGGAGATGCTCAAGTGACGACTCCACCAGTAACACCTGCTCCATTCACTCAACAGTTCGTTTTTCGAATCGATTCGGTATTTATGATCTCTATATTTCAGACCGGCGTTCCAACAGACTTTCCGGCCAATTCCAGCGGTATTGTTTATCACTTTCTTGTTGCAAAATTTGGCTGTGTGCCAGTTTTTTTTTTTTTTGAAAATTTGAGCGTCTGAAAGCGTAGTCAGTTAGCGACCGCTACGGCGACACGCGACGCGTCCAAATTGGCTTGGTGCCAAACTTCATATCTAGGTTCCCTTTTCTTCAGCGACCACGCCAACGAATCATTGCTCAACAGCCACAATCTGTATTCAACAACCGGCAGAACGTCTTCATCTCCAGGAGACGTGGACAAAGCAACAGCTTCTCTGCGAATAGACAGAATGTATTCCAGCAACCACAGCAATCATTTGGAGGTGGTGGACGTAAGTCTAGATAGACTATATTTTAGTTCTCCTTATAAACCCGCTTCTTTCAGAATGCGTTGATCGCGATCCACAAGGAAGGTGTTCTCAATGGCGTCAATTCTGTACGGCTCCATCTCATCAGCAGTATCTAACGGCGTTCTGTGCGAGAACATGTGGATTGTGCCGTCGTCACTAAATGCTTAATTTCGGAGCATATTGCTCTCTAGGGTCTCTAATCTTGCTCACTTTATCAACCGCTAGGCTTTCCCTATTACGAGTTTCTGTATGACAGACAAAAGAAAATAAAAGAATTTTTTCAAACTAATAAAAAATGTTTTTCACTTACATACACTACCGGAAAATGAATAGAGAAATTAATTAAACGGGGAGAAAGAAAATTGCCATGACGGTGAGAGAGACAAAAAAAAAAGAGAGAGCAAATGGCTTGAACGGGGAGAGAAAATTATAAAATTATGACCTATTTATACGCTATCACTTCGAGACTTTACGGAGTAAAATTAACATTTTTCTTCTTTTTCTTTCTTCGAGAAACGGGTCAAAATTGTTATAGGAAACTGGGTGAGATGGACTGAAGAACCGGAAAACACTACTTAGAGAAGCATGGTGTGTGGCTTCTCGAGGAACTCCTTGAAGTGACGAAGCCAGACGGCTCCAACAGCTCCGTCGACAGTTCGGTGATCGCATGACAGTGTCACCTTCATGGTCTTGATCTTCTTGTATCTAAAACAGAGAACATATGAAAAGAAAAAAGGATCGTTTTTAGTTGACTAACCCTTCAGCTTCATCTGGAATCAGTTTGTCGGAAGCTCCTCCAATGGCCAAAATGCATGATTGTGGTGGGTTGATAATAGCAGTGAAGTCAGAGACCGATCCGAACATTCCGAGGTTGGAGACAGTGAAAGTACCTCCTTGGAATTCGTGTGGCTGCAACTTTCCTTCACGAGCTCTCTGTGCCAACTCGGTAACTTCGGAGGCAATAGTGGCGAGTCCCTTGGCGTGAGCATTGAAGACGATTGGAGTGATCAAACCGGCTGCAGTGCTGACGGCCACTGAGACGTCGACGTGATGGTTCTCACGGATGAAGGAGTCCATCCAGTAGCTGTTGGCTTCTGGAACACGTCGGCAGGCAAGAGCAGATGCCTTGATGATGAAGTCGTTGATGGAAATTTTGGTAGCATGTCCAGATGTTCCCTTCGCGAGAAGACCGTTGAGTTTCTCACGAACTCTGCAAACCGACTTGTCAGATACGGCTCGAAAATTATGAAAACTTAAAACTTACTGAAGAAGAGTATCCAATTGAATTTCACTAGTAAGATAATAATGTGGAATCGTCGACTTGCTCTCAGTGAGTCTCTTAGCAATAGTCTTTCTCATATTTGACAATGGAACATCAGTGTAATCTTGGCCAGAAGACGCCTGGCTTGTCGTTGATGTAGCTCCTTTAGCTGGAGCTTGCGAAAGGTCGGAAGCAAGAATTCTTCCTCCTGGTCCACTTCCAGAAACACCGCTCAAGTCGAGTCCTTGCTCAGCGGCAAGTTTCTTTGCGAATGGAGAAGCGGAAACTCTTCCGGATGATGGTGGTGGAATTGGAGCAGACTTTGGGATAGATGGAGCCTGGTACATTGGAGTTGGTGGAGAAGAAGCAGCTGGTGGGGAGGATTGCTTTGGTGGTTCAGGAGCAGATTCTTTCTTAGCGGATGAATCTCCTCCGGCGGCAGCTCCATCATCCTTGAAGTCTTTGAAAGCAGCGACATCGGCTTCATTTTCAACAATGATACAGAGAAGTTTTCCAATTGGAACGTCTTTCGATCCTTCTTGAATCAAAATCTTGGCCAAATATCCCTCTTCTGGAGTTTCGAATCCCATAGTGGCCTTGTCGGTTTCAATTTCGCAGAGCAAATCTCCCTCGCTGAGCTGATCTCCTTCTTTCTTTTGCCAACTGACAACAGTTCCGAGTTCCATAGTTGGCGACAGCGCTGGGAGAGCTACTCGGTTGTGCTTTGGCAGGTTGTCTGAAAATGCGTTTTGTTCGTTTCGGTGAATAAAATTTTAGGTAACTCACTGCTGCTGTAAAGGCGAACCTGCTTAATGCTGAAAGCGGCCGCATTTGGGTATTGGCGAGCAACTTGTCCAACGAGAGCGGAGCTCTTCGTAGAGGTGTTCAAGGCGCGGCTCGATTGTGTGAAACCGATATTGGCCGCTGAAATGGCGGCGGTGGCCGATGGACGGAGCCCACCAATCGTTCTCAACGGCACCGGGAACTTCGACATTACCTTAAAATTCGTTAAATTTTGGAATCGCAATTGATGAGAATCAATGAGAAAAAAATGAGATACGACGAGAAAAGTCTTTAAAAATCATGTACCATTTGAAAAAAATAACTGCGGGCAACAATCACCTATTTGAAAAAAAATTGAGTTTACCCGAAAAATGGAAACATTTCAGCCTACTCGAATGATTTTCTTCGAGTTTCTGGTGCAATTTACTGATTAGGCACACTATCAAAACTGATAAAGCAAAAAAAAGTTTGCAATCACTACGATTTTTGATGAGAAAGAACGTTCGCAACAACAGAAGAAAAAGAAAAAATCAGACGGAAACAACGACACTCCGCTCATGACGCCCGCGCGTTGTTTAGCAATTTGGAATATTTATTTTTTCCGCTGTTCCCTGATTGCAAAGCGTTTTCTATTGCAATTCTCTCAATAAATAAAACCTAATTTAGCGAAAATGACAACTCCAGTTCCATTCCGCTCATTCAATGACAAGTTCGAATGCAATGACGACGGGAATTTCACTTTCTCAAGCACAGAACAGGTTTACCTAATTTCGAATTCAACCTTAATTACAAACAGAATAATTTCAGAAACGGATTGAAGCAATGCTATTCGAAAATTACAATTCGTTAGTATTGGAACCGTTTGAAGCCACTGGGGACGAGGATGCCTCTCAGTTGACTGTTCTGCGCCAGCGACATACTGCCTATTTGCTCAGATACCTCAAGAACTGCCCGCCAAGCTACTCAGTAAGTTGAAGAAACGCATTTTCTCACTTTTGCAATAATTTGAGACATTGGACGCTAGTCGCTCGTGGATGTGCTATTGGTCTGTGAATGCGCTCAAAATCTTGGATGCAGAAATTCCAAAAGAAACCGTGGACAACATTATAACATTTTTGAAAGCCTGTGAACACCCAGACGGTGGATATGGTGGCGGACCAGGCCAGTTGGCTCATTTGGCTCCAACATACGCCACAGTCATGTGCCTAGCTTCACTTCAGACAGAAGAAGCTCTCAAATCGATCAACCGAGAAACGCTACACAATTTTTTGAAAAAAAGCAAAGATGCAAGCGGAGGTTTCGCTATGCACGAAGGAGGAGAGGTCGATATGAGAAGCGCCTACTGCGCTCTTGCCACGTGTGAAATTGTGGGTCTGCCTATCGCGGAAATCTCAGAAGGCGTCGCTGAATGGATCATCAGCTGCCAGACTTACGAAGGAGGCTTTGGCGGGGAACCTCACACAGAGGCGCATGGAGGATACACATACTGCGCTGTTGCATCGTTGGTTTTGTTGAACAGGTCAGAATGTTATCTTTAAAAAAAGCGAATGACATCAGCACGTGTATATCACATGTACCTGTTGTTCCAAGTTCTTGAAGTAATATGAAATCAATGATCTTGCTGATCTATTATATATTTTTCAGATTCCGTCTTGTCGACGTCGACAGTCTTCTTCGCTGGGCCACTCGCCGTCAAATGAAATACGAAGGGGGTTTCCAGGGAAGGACGAATAAGCTTGTGGATGGATGTTACAGTTTTTGGCAAGGCGCCATTTTTCCCTTGTTAGATGGAGAGATGGAACGAGAAGGGCGATCTTTGGAAAAAGGTCTTTTTGAGGCTAAAATGCTTGAAGAGTACATTCTAGTCGGATGTCAATCACTTCATGGAGGCTTTAAAGACAAACCAGACAAGCGTAATATCCCCCAGAAAAGCTACCACTATTTCAATTTTTCAGCTGTCGACCTCTACCACACTTGCTACGTCCTCGGCGGTCTCTCAATTGCTCAAAAATATTCCATGGCTCGAGATGGAAAAATACTCGGAGGGGATGTCAATATGCTTTGCGAGATTAATCCAGTATTCAATATAACTGTCGCCTCCGAACAGTTTGCCAAGGAATTCTTCACTTCTCATTGATACCTCTCTGCTTAATTTATTACTTCATCTCTCAGTTATCTCGCTTTTATATGTCTACGAGTCTCCCCATTGAATATCTGTTTTCGCCCGAATGTTTTGTATAAAAATATATATGTTTTAGACTGAAATTATTATTCAGTTGAAGCAGTTATCAGACTGAATTATTTATTTCTGTTTTTTATCTCTTGAATATTCATTCTAATTAATATGTCTTACAGATGAAGCTGAAAAAACATCCGATGAAGTTGGCTGCTAAAAAGAAGCCAATGGAAAAACAAAAGATGGGAAAATCAGAAAAAGTGAAACAAAAAGCTGCTGATCTCGCTAGTGCTGAAAAAGTCATGGCTCAATTCGAAAGTGGAGCTGTCGATCCAAAAAAGAAGAAACATCAAAATGGAAAAACCAATGGATTCTCTGCCCCGCCTCCAAAACCAACAGAAGCCTCGAACCCGAAACGTCAGTTGAAAAAGATTCTGGGACAAGATGGTCTCCTCGTAAAGCATCAAGAAGGTTCAAAATGGTACAGCTACCAAATCGACCATGTTCATGATGAGAAAACCGAGAAGATGAGTGCCACAGACATTCAGAAGCTTCTTGAAGAGGGAAAAGACGCGTTGGCGCAAGATTCAGCTCTTCTTCAAACCAAAGACAAACAAGAGAACGGATCGGAAGCATCATGGCTTTATTCGGTGATTTCTAAAGGAACAGCTGCTGATAAGAGAACCGCAATGCAACTTCAAATGCACAAATCACCTGTTCACTCGTTGGAATACGTTGAGAAACTCATCGCTTCTTGTAAAAAACAAGGAACCAGAGATGTGGTCGACATCATTCGTAAGAATCCTCTATTAGAGGGAAAAGCAAGCTAAAACATCTAATTTTTCAGCAATTCTCGAAGACGTCTTCATCAATCACTGTCTCCCAGAAAACCGGAAGCTGATTCCATTCTCGAAGCGTGCACTGAAAGAGCTAACCGAACTCTCGTCTGGAAACAACCGTTCTCGCCGTAAAATTCTTTTGATGTGGGCTTTCGAGCATGAACTCAAAATTCTGTATCAACAATTCATCGAAACTCTCATTGAAATCATCAAAAGACCGCTAGAAGAGGTTATCAAAAGATCGTTGAAGACGTTGGCGAATTGCTTAATGGGTAGACCGGAATCTGAGAATGTAAAAGGATTCTAGCCGTCGTTTTAATTTTATCTATAAATTTCAGTTGATTCTTTCGTCGCTTGTCAATGCGTTCGGTCATCCAAACTACAAAATCGGAGCATTCGTTACGACGCTTCTAGAAGGTATCGCTAGGAAGCATCCAGCTATGAGACTTGTTATGGTTGAGGAAATTGAGAGATTAGCATTCAGGTATAGCTGAAACTACAATAATTCAAAAACAATTCTAAAATTTCAGAAAGAACGTCAACGAACGCGCTCATCTCTACTCCATGACATTCCTTTCTCAAATGAAGTTCTCGAAAAAAGACTCTGATCTCTGTTGTCGTCTGATGTCCATTTATCTGGCTCTTTTCAAGACGATCGTCGGAAAGAAAATCACTGACAACCGCCTTCTCCCCATCATTCTCGCTGGAGCGAATCGCGCATTCCCATTTGCCAAAGAAGCTGAGAAACTTCTCGAAGACGTCAAAGATGTCTATTTCCTGGCTCACAATTCTAACTATAGAACTGCAATTCCAGCACTAAAGCTGTTGTTCCAGTTTCATAAAATGAACGACTACGTGTCGGATCGTTTCTACAACGCTCTCTATCGCAAGTTGCTTGACAATTGTCCAGCTGGCGCCTATGCTCAGCTTCTCAAACTCATGTTCGATACATTGAAAGAGGACTCGTCGGCACAGAGAATCCGCGCTTTCGTGAAACGACTCCTTCAAGTAGCTGTAAACTCCCAACCGGATTTCGCTGCCAGTATTCTCATTCTCATTTCTCGCCTTCAAAAGTTAAGAGGACCCACTGAAAAACTAGTGGTGCTTACAAAAGATATCGATGTAAGATTTTCATAGTTTAAATTATATTCAGAATATAACTTTTTATTTTCAGCCAGCTGCTCGTGTCGTCGAACAGATGCAAAACGACGATGATGATGAGGAGCACTACGTGGATTTGGATGCCGAGGGAAATGCAATTGAGAGGAATGGAGTGAAGAAAGAAGAGGCGCCAACTGATGATATTGTTATTGAGGAAGAGGACAAGAAAAAGATTAAAGCAGGTCAACTTGGAGCGTCTTCAACTGGCGGTTGGGTTCATCGAAACCTGGGTGCTCGCGGAGCCAAATCCCCATACGATTCTGTCGCTCGTAATCCACTATTCGTTGACGCTGCCCATGTGGCTGACAGTGAACTTCTTCTCCTTTCAAACCATTACCATCCATCTGTTGGAGTGTTCGCTAAAGCTCTCATGGAGGGAAGAGAAATTAACTATGGTGGAGAGGCGCTCAATGACTTTACTCTCATGGCATTCCTCGATCGATTCGCTTTCCGTAATCCAAAAGATGTTACCAAGACGACAGGAAGCAGAATTGTCAGAAAGAAAGCACACGATCCATGGGGAGTTAGAAAGTTGGCTGTTGGCTCGAATGTATGTTTTCTATTCAGACAAGCCCCAATTAATTTTTTTCTGTTTCAGGAATACACTCAAAAGCGTCGTGAAGAGATTCCAGCTGACGAAAGATTCCTTCATCGTTACACTTCTAGTCTCAATAAGGAGAAGAAGGTGAAGAAGGAGTCTGGAGAAGACGAGTGGGAGTATGCGGAATCTGTGAATTCCGAGGAGTTCGATCAGTTGTTGGAGAGATTCGAGCCTGGAGAGCTGAACGAAGAGTTTGACATCGATTATAGCAAAGAGTTTGGAGCCGAGAAGAGCAAGAGGAACAAGAAGAAGGCTGACGAAGAGGATGATGTGGATATGGATGAGGATGATGATATTGATTTGAATGATCTGAATGAAGAAGAGGATGGAGGAATGGAAGAAGATGATGATGATGACGTGGAGATGGATGACGATGAAGATGTGGATGGTGTAGAAGAATATGATGGAGAAGAGGAAGACGACGACGAGGATGATGACGAAGGAGGTTTTGGCGGAAAGAGCTCTGCGAACATCTTCGGCGATGATGATGGATCCAGTGATGAGGAGATTGGTGCGAACGATTATGAAACCGCTGGAGACAGATTCGCTGAAATGTTGGAAGACCTGGAAGAGGATGATGATAAGAAGGGAAAGAAGAAGAAGGGTGGAAAACGAGGAGTCAAGCGAGGAGGAGGCGGATTCAAAAGAGGCGGAGGAGCCAAAAAGTTCAGAAGACATTAATCTGACATTGTTATCTATTCTATTGTTTTTCTTTATTTGTTGTGTTCTTGTTGTTTTTTACCATTTTGTTTTCATCTTTTATCGTTCATCTTTATAGTTTCTTGTTATGAAATCTGAAAAAGTTCTTTTTTTCCCAATAAATAATATCCATCGTTTCATGAAAAACTATTTTTTAGGAAAAAAAAGGGTGTCAGTGGCTGCCCAGGACGATTGGCAACTTAAGAAGTAGTCTAGAATTTCAGCTATTTTAAGCCTTTACCAGTTTTCATTTTCAAAAAAATAAGTTTAGAATTATTTTGGGCGATTTGGGGACTCAAAAATGTTTTAACCAAAATTTTCAAATTTCATTTTTCTGTAATACCAGCTCCCTCTCCTCCACGGCCCTCTCACAAACCCTCCACTACTTATCCGCCTTCGTAAAGGATTCGTTAATGTTGTCCGATGGCAGAGTGGTGCGCAGGCTTGTTTTCGAATCTGAAGATCATGATGTTGCTAGTTCGAACCCTTTTTACTTTTTTTTCTTTTTGATTTTGCATTTTTGGGTCATTAATCGTTTTTTGTTGACTTTTCACAGTGATTTTATAACTGCAATCAGTCAATTTTCCGATTTTTTTGGAATTTCAGAACTTTTCCTGTTATGGTTTATTCTACGAACGTTAACCTCATAGTCTTTTTCCGTTTTTGATAAGAGCCTATTCTTTGTTCCTATAAAAAGGGAAAATATGTTTCAAAATTTATTGAACTCAATGATTTTTCTTATTCTTTTCCTGCTATTGTTCTCCGCCATTTCTCCGGACAACGAGTGTCCCTATCGATACAAATTCTATGCGAACACTGCGATTTGTTATCATTTATCAGATGATTTTTATGATTTCAATGGTGCCGTGAGGTATTGCGAGAGCACTGGCGGGAAGTTGGTGTCGTTGATTCAAGGAGAACGAGCTGGAATTGCGAGTGAGTATCGTGAAGTAATAGAAGCCCCCACTCAAGTTTGAGCTCAATTATCTCAATTCCTACGCAAGATATCAAAAAGTGGTCAACTAATAAAATGTTTCTGATATTATGATAAACAATTTATCAGCTAGAATCTTTTTCCATATCTATGACAAGAACCGAGATAAATTGACTCAAAGTTAGGGGGTCCTTCTACTACAGGTTTTACAGTATCTCTGATTCAAACATTTCCCAGATCTCACTTCTCATCTTCTTGTTCAACCATGGGTCGCTTCAAAACGAAACACAACCACTGGAATTTTTTATAATTTAGATCATTCCGTTTTCATTTCTGAGCAGTGGGCGCAAGGTGATTTTTTTCTTTAAAGGGGACTCCGACCAAAAATTTTGTTATCTTAAAATGTTTAAAAAGTGTGCATTTTCGTAATATTGCGGAAAAATTCAAAAAAAATGTCGTTGAAAGTAATAATTGTGCTAAGAAGGTGGCGAATAGGGATGAGGATTTGAATTCCCGCGCAGTGAGAAACCTAGGCCACGGTGTTGGACGCCGTTGAAAACATTGACCAACAGAAAGCGGAAAAAATCTGCGAAAAATGCCACTGAAAAAATGGCGGGCTGCCGCGGTGACCTAGGTTTCTCACTGCGCGGGAATTCAAAGGCTCGTCCTTATTCGCTCGTTTTGGAGCGAAATTCTCTTTTTCAACGGATTTTTTAAAATTAATATTGGGAAAAAAACCTAATTAAAAAAAAAATTTAAATTATATAATAAAAGTTTTAATAAAAACATTAAAATTAATAAAAATTTCTAGACCCCTTTAAAAATCTGAAAATTCGAGAAATTCCAGGCGAGCCCAACCCAGCAAATGGAGATTGTGTAACATTCAAAGGAGTTTCTTCAAACTTTGGACTCCAAACGACCCAATGCTATCAGCAACAGTATGCCTTTTGTAAAATCGTTCCTGATCTTTGCAACGGTGGAATACAAAACGGAACATTTGGATCAATTCAATCGCCACAGTACCCAAATCAATACTATAACAAGTTAATGTGCCTCTATTACATTTATGGTAGGTTTTCAATTAGATTCAAGTACAAAATTATATTTTTAGCACCCCAAGGATTCCGTGTAAATATCTATTTTCCACAGATCCAGACTGAAAAGAATTATGACTTCATTGAAATTTATGAGAAGAATAGTACTTTGTATCCGGATAGAATAGTTGGATTATCTGGAAATATCACGGATTACACTTATCAATCGAATTCAAGTTTTCTTCTAGTGGGATTCCGTACCAACTACGTTTTCACTGATATCGGATTTCATGCAACGTGGAATGTTGAACGAATTCAACCACCAATAATTTCAAATACAACAAACTATGGAGAACTGACATCTCCAAATTATCCAGAAGATTATGACACATTTGATAAGCAACTGTACTACATTCAAGTAGTTGAGGGAGGACGAATCAATGTGACCATTGACGATTTTTTTACTCAAGAGACTTTCGATTATTTGGACATTTTCGACAGTTCCAATCAATCTTCTAAAGTGGTGCGACTATCTGGAAATTCTGTAGCTCCGTGGTCCTGGTTGAGCACTTCAAGTGTAGTTTTATTGAAGTTTGTGTCAGATGGAAGTTATCAGTACAGAGGATGGCATTTGACATGGAATATGATTTGAACACATGAAAACTGATAAATATTGTATTCTGTTAATTTGGTCATTAATAAATGCTTCAAACGAATTTGACTTTTTAGATACAAAGAGCTTGTTGCATGCTTTCTAAACCACACTGCGAAGTTGGTCTCAAATTTGCAAGATTTGAATTCGCTGAACTTATTCAAAGACGTCAGAGAATGTATATTAATCATGATGGAAATTCAGAAGAGAAGCTCTTCTAGAAGAATTTGGTACTTTCCAGGGCCGCGCGAACGCAGCCCCGTTACGCAAAAATTGAGCTGTTGGCGAATCTCAACTCGAGACTGCCACACAGGTCAGCCCATCCTAAAGTGCAATGGATAGGCCTCGCCATGGGGATTCCGTCTTCATGATCACGGAATGCCCCCAGCCAGGTAAGTTTATGAGTCGCCGGGCTGTGGGGGTAGGGGTGGCGAGTGTACCGACATCTCCCGGGTTCCGCCGTCCACTATGTTTAGCGTGCAAAGTGGGCGGAGCCTCGCGACAAGAGGGACAGGGGGAAGATGAAGAGACGCGAGAGAAAGCCAGAAAAGAAGCGTTTTATCAGGAAAATTTTGCCGGTTTAGTTGACAATGTCAGTTTTTGTGTAGAATATTAACTGTAAAAACAAGAATTCTGATTTATGATAACTTTATTATTACAAAACTGTCTGAAAACAATTAAAAGATCAGAAATACAAGTAATGTTCAAAAATAAAAAAGAATCATCAACAATCATTAAGAAGAATTCTGCTGAATAGCCTCCTGTTTCTGAATTGGAATCGATCTTCCTTGAATTGCTTCCTTCTTCGGAGCCTCAATCGAAAGTTTTCCGTCTTCAGAAAGATTCGAAGCAACTGCGGCGACGTCAACGTCTTCTGGAAGAAGGATGACACGAGAGAATGACTTTTTCGAGTATCCAGCCTCCTTTTTAACTTCTTGTTCTCCTTGAATTGTCAGAGTTCTTCCATCCAAATTGATCTTCAAATCTTCTGGTTTGAATTGAGAAACATTCAAATTCACAGCAAACTTTTCATCCGTGTTTACGATCTGAAAATCAAAAGAATTTGAACTTGAAGAAGGATTCAGAATATTCTGGAAACTTACCTCAGACGACGTTCTTCCTTGACAAAAAGGAACCAGATGACGGTCCATTCTTCCGAAATCTCCCATTAACTCATTGAAAAGAGAGCGTTGAGTTGGACGATAATAATGGTAGACAGACATTTTGAAATAGTTTTTAAAGAGCTTTCACAAATTGAGTGAATGATGTTTCTTCTGAATTCCATCGAGTATTTATACATATTCTCATTTTATTATAGAATCTTCTACAACCTTCCAATGCATTCCCGTCGAAACACCCACCCTCTCTTCACGAAGGAGAGAGTGTGAACAGAAAAGAGACGCAGGTGTTTTTCCGTCTGCGTCTCTCTTCGGTGGAACATCGGCGCGCCCTCCTTCCTTCTCGAAGCTTCTAGAATGTTCTTGAATGGATAGTCAGTTGGGTATAAAATAAAAGAGAATTCAGATGAAATCATCACACTTTCATCAAGTGAGTATTCAATTTAAAAATGCTTCTTCTCCGTTCTCCATTCTTTGATTCTTCTGTTCTTGATCATTTCTTGGATGAAATGAATGGATCTGTTCAATTACCGTATTGGAGAGATGCTGATCATAATTCATTCAGTTTTTCGGATACTATTGGAGAGGTAATTTAATTTCTATGGAATTCAATTTATAAGAAATTCGAATTTCCCAAATTTCAGATAGTGAACAACGACAACACGTTCTCCGTTCAAGTCGATGTGTCCCATTTCAAACCAGAAGACCTCAAAATCCAATTGGATGGAAGAGAATTGAAAATCGAAGGATCTCAGGAAACAAAATCGGATCATGGATTCACAAAAAGATCCTTCTCAAAGATGATTCTACTTCCAGAGGATGCTGATTTGAGTTCCGTTAAATCTGCCATTTCAAATGAGGGAAAACTTCAAATCGAGGCTCCAAAGAAGACAAATACTTCTCGTTCTATCCCATTAATTTTGTTGCTAAACATTGATTTTTTTTCATGTATATTTCAATTTGTCTAGATAATGAAATTTTTTAATGTGAAGTTATGCAAGTTCTGTCTCTAATAAACTGCGAGCTTTAGAATTCGTCGAAATTTTTTGAAGATGACAGAAAATACATGGAATTCATGATTCTTATTCAGAAGAGCTCTTCTAGAAATAATTACATACCAAGAAATCAGAATTTGGTCCAGAAAACCCCCCTAAATTCACAGAAATAAACTTCATGTACTTCTGTAGTGATTTTTGGGCGAGGCCCCGTAAATCGGCACGGAAGCCGCCCGCGAAATTTTCCAGGTCCCAGTTTTTGATTCGACAGTATTACTAGGTCTTCATCAGAATTCAAATACGACGCAACGACAACTGTGCTATCGGAAGATTTTTAGACTTTCCAGGGCCGCGCGAACGCAGCCCCGTTACGCAAAAATTGAGCTGTTGGCGAATCTCAACTCGAGACTGCCACACAGGTCAGCCCATCCTAAAGTGCAATGGATAGGCCTCGCCATGGGGATTCCGTCTTCATGATCACGGAATACCCCCAGCCAGGTAAGTTTATGAGTCGTCGGGCTGTGGGGGTAGGGGTGGCGAGTGTACCGACATCTCCCGGGTTCCGCCGTCCACTATGTTTTGCGTGCAAAGTGGGCGGAGTCTGTGGAGAAGAGGGAAATGCAAATAATATTGCCAAATATGACGAGTATTAGGAGTTTCTTATCATCGTTTCAACATAAATTTCGTTTTTCAAAAAAAAGGCACAAATTGAGTATGTACACTTTATTCAATTTTATTCAATTTTACAGTAGATAAGTAGTGGTGGACAAAGAAATTTTCAGCTAATTGATGATCAGAAAAAAGGGGACTCCAAATAAATTATCTCAAGATTCTCAAAAAGTGTGTTAATACTTCTGCTGGTCAATTGCTGGCATCTTTCGAATTGGAATGGATCTTCCAGGAACTGGAATCAATTTCGGAGCTTCAATGGACAATTTCCCATCGTCCGATAGACTGGAGGCTACAGAAGCGACGTCAACGTCTTCTGGAAGTACGATGACACGAGAGAAGGATTTCGCAGATTTTCCATGATCTGTGACAACATCTTGTTCCCCTTGAATTGACAGTTTTCTTCCGTCCAAATTGATTTTCAATTCGTCTGGCTTAAATTGGGAGACGTTCAGGTTCACTGAGAATTTTTCATCAGTGTTGACGATCTGAAAATCAGAAGAAAAATCTATATTTGAAAAAGTTTAGGTTCTGTACTCACATCAGCATTCAAAGATGAAGTTGGTGGATCGTAGTTAGTAGCAACTGGCATATAATCCCTCATATATTCTCCCATATATGAAAGATGTTTAGGATCGAAAAACGGGTAAAGAGACATTTTTCACTTCTCGCGCGAGAAAGAAATTGACTGATAGGAGCTCTTATATACTTGTTTATTGTTTTCGCGAACTTTCCATGTTCAGAGCTCGTCGACCAAATGGAGCACACAACAACGGGTAAGCGAGAGAGTTTGACCTGCTGAGAGACGCAGACAATGCTCTATTTTTATGCATTTTTCTCTGCTTTGAAAACACCATGGCCACCGTGATGTCTTCTGGAATCGTCTGAAGACAGATGTTGATGTTGTTTTCATGTTTTTCTGAGCAATAGTATAAAAGGATTCGGAGATTCCGATGAAGCCAAAAACTTTCTGAAACTTTCACGACAATGATGGTTTATCGTACCCCTTACGGAAGATCTCGCTCTTCTGATCACTTTTTTGATGATTTTTCCCGAAGATCTGTTCTCCCTTATTGGAGAGATGCAGATCACAGCTCTTTCAATTTTTCTGATACTGTTGGAGAGGTGAGTGGAAGACTATTACTAATAGTAAGTTTCATTCAAGTTCCTCATTTCAGGTCATCAACGACGACTCAAAATATGCTGTCCAATTGGATGTATCTCATTTCAGACCAGAAGATATGAAGATTCAATTGGATGGAAGAGAGCTTAAAATCGAAGGATGTCAAGAGATGAAATCTGAGCATGGATATTCGAAAAGATGCTTCTCGAAGATGTTCCTGATGCCAGAGGACGTTGATTTGACTGCTCTCAGATCTGCGATTTCCAACGACGGAAAGCTTCAAATCGAAGCCCCAAAAGGCTCTGCCAACAGTTCTCGTGCTATTCCAATTAGCTTCGTTGAAAAACATTGACTTGTAAACCTGACCTGTTTACTTTGATTTTGATACTCAATATATATTAAATTTAACCAGATCTCTGTGTACAATGTAATATGTTTGCGACATAAAAATCAAATGAAGTTTTTCGGATGAGCAAGCAGCGACTGCAGTTGGTGTGGCATCAAAAATTTATTCTCTACAATGAAAACTGCTTTGAACCTTGAAGATGTTTACCAATTCTGAAAACTATCATTATGGTTCAAAGTGATATTTTTTCCAAAGGGTGTGAAATGTATTCAAAAATCCCGAAGAAAACTGAAAAGTTGAAAAAAAAAGTGCTCAAAGTTTACATCAAATGGGATATTGTCGATTTAAAAAAAAGCTGGGACCCACTTGGGTTCAAGCTAGGGGGTCAGAAAAAGCGCCCCAGCAAACTTGTAGGCCAGAAGAAATTTAATAATTTCAAAATGAACGCGGGTTTGAACTAGATCATGATCTATTTCTTAAAAATCAACGGGTTGCAACGCGCGTATTCTCGCTCATCGTTTAAAACTGTGGTACTCAGCCAACGAAGTTCGGCAGCGAATTGAGAATTTTTGAAAAATTTACTGGGGCGCGCTTTCTGACCCCCTCGCTTGAACCCAAGTGGGGACCTGAGAGTTTGAAAACCATCGCTTTTTTGATCTACGAAAAAGTGCGGCAAAATCGTAACATTTCAGGCTTTTACCTCGTTCGAGCTACTTCCGCAATTAAGTTCGGTTTTTCACCGAAAAACAGATTCTAGAGATGCTAGTGATCACTTACATACCAAGAAATCAGAATTTGGTCCAGAAAATCCCCCTAAATTCACAGAAATAAACTTCATGTACTACTGTTGTGATTTTTGGGCGAGACCCCGTAAATCGGTACGGAAGCCGCCCGCGAAATTTTCCAGGTCCCAGTTTTTGATTCGACAGTATTACTAGGTCTTCATCAGAATTCAAATACGACGCGACGACAGCTGTGCTATCGGATGATTTTTAGACTTTCCAGGGCCGCGCGAACGCAGCCCCGTTACGCAAAAATTGAGCTGTTGGCGAATCTCAACTCGAGACTGCCACACAGGTCAGCCCATCCTAAAGTGCAATGGATAGGCCTCGCCATGGGGATTCCGTCTTCATGATCACGGAATACCCCCAGCCAGGTAAGTTTATGAGTCGCCGGGCTGTGGGGGTATGGGTGGCGAGTGTATCGACATCTCCCGGGTTCCGCCGTCCACTATGTTTTGCGTGCATTGTGGGCGGAGTCTCGGGAAGAGAGAAAGGGGAAGATGAAGAGACGCGAGAGAAATCCGAAAGAGGAGCGTTTTCGGGAAAGAGGGTTTTTGTCGAGAAAGGATGAGATAGAATGTAGCTTTTTTACCAAAGATTGCTATCTTTAAGGCTGTTATTCAAACACTTTAAGTCAATCTGGTGAAATGAAAATTTCTGAAACGGGATCAGCTCAACAGGACGATCGGAAGGTACCTAATTTTCATCACCTCACGAAACCATTTCTTCGCTACTTCTGTTGAAATTGATCAAACATTTACATAGAACTTGGTATAATAGCTGATAAATCAAACCACTGATAAGAAAAAAGGAGCTAATTTGCACTCTGGTTTTCGTGATTCCAATGATTCGTCTCCTTCTATTTCTTAGTTTTGCGAATCTTGCTGGTAAGCTCGCTCTTTAAAAAATCTTTCTATTGTTTTATTGTTCAGTGGGAAGTGAGTGTCCAATTGGTTGGACGTTCAATGCAGAAACGTCTTCCTGTTATGCCATCTCTGCCCGACTTTTCACTTTTGATGAATCAGTTCAATATTGTAATTCCATTGGTGGTAAATCAGTGTCAATTGATTCATACTCTGAACGTGATGCTCTTGTTGGTAAGGTGGTTTCTTTTTCAAAATCTACAGTAATCCAATTTCTCAGCTATCACCAACAATACCTTCCTACAACCATGGCTTGGTGCCAGAAGAAATACCACTACCAACAGATTCTATAATCTCGATGGTTCCTATTTCTACACTTTAATGTGGACTACCAGTGAGTTCAAACCACTGGAAACTGATAAGAGATAATTCTAGATGAGCCGAGTGTCAACGGAGATTGCGTTACCTTCAAAAGAGCGACTCCACCTGGATTGCAAGTCACACAATGCTATCAGTTACAACCGGCTTTTTGTAAACAGACTCCTGCACTGTGGGTTCAATGATTCATTGGAGAGTAAAACCTTTTCTTTCAGTTGCAATAGTGCCGTTCTTGGTGGACCCACAACCTGGTCTGGAACATTCCAATCTCCTGGATATCCAGTACAGTACTACAACAATTTGGACTGCAGATATCTGATCAATTGTCAGTGTCCTACCATACATTATCCTACCATACACCAATTTTTCCTTTTCAGCCCCTAATAATACCTTCATCACAATTATGTTCTACCCATTCGTAATTGAAGAGTGGTATGATTCTGTCGAAGTCTATGAGGGCAATTCTACATCATTCTATGATTATATTGGAACGTAAGAGTCTTTCTATTCAATCAAATTTTCTAACCCAATCTTTAGAGTCTCCTCCTACAACATGGCTCGCGGTTTCGAATCGTCTGGAAATGTGATGAATGTTAAATTCAAGACCAATTACGCTATCACTGATAAGGGTTGGTTGGCGACATGGAAGGCAAAAAAAGATATGCCAACGATCACACAGACTGGAACCAATGGAACATTAGTGTCTCCTAATTACCCGAACAATTACGATAGCTATGATGAACAAGTGTACCAAGTTAGCGTTGCCTGGGGAATGCAAGTCAATTTGACTATTGATGATTTCCGAACGGAATCAAAGTACGATTACTTGAATATCTACAATAGCAGTGTGCAATCGAATAGTACGCTAGTGGCTACGTAAGTTACAAGGAATCGAATGAATAGTTTTCAGAAGAATATTCCAGACTATCCGGAGCTTTGACAGTTCCATGGAACTGGGTCTCTCCAAGGAGTTATTTGTCAATGAAGTTTGTATCTGATGGAACGCTTCAATATAAAGGATGGCACGCAATCTGGAATTATTGCTAGATTCTAACTTTAAATAGAATTTTCAACTCTGTAATAAAATAGAAATTCTCTAACTTTTTGAGACTGAAGTTTGATTCAAACAATTAAAAAAAGCAATAAAAAATACATAAATTCTGTAGCTCCTATTTCGGTAGCGATAGCGAAAAGAAAAGTAGTCATTCGAGAGCAAAATGATCGGTGTGGTGCTGCTCTTTTTGGTCTTTAACAGTGAGTTTTCCGGTTTTGAGATTTATTGAATCTGGTCCTTCTTCTGGTTTTAGGTGTCACTGCTGATGACAATCATTGTCCCTCTGGTTGGACATTTTCTACGAACACCTCCTATTGTTACATCCAATCTCCACAATACATGACCTACGCAGAAGCAGATCCATTCTGCCAGTCAATGGGAGGATCTCAAGTGTTCATATTCACATCGAGAGAGCTCACTTGGCTCACTGACTTCACATCCTCGTCATTTGCTCAACCATGGCTAGCCACTACAAGAAACACAACCACAAATATCTGGTATAACTCCGATAACACATCTCCCACAGCAAGCTTTTGGACAACTGGAGAGCCAGGTGTCAATGGAGATTGTGCAACATTCAAAGGCACAAGTGCCCCAGGTCTCAAAGTAACTCCGTGCTACAGTATCCAACCGGCTCTCTGCAGGCAGATGCCGGCACTATGCCCAACGATTAAAGATTACGGTGGTGCGTACACTAGAAGTGGCACTATCCAATCTCCAGGGTATCCAGTTCAGTATTACAACAACTTGGACTGTCTCTACACTATCACATGTTGGTTTAAAAATTTCAGCAGATTTCCTATAGAAATATGTATGTAATTTCAGCCCCGGCAAACACGTACATCACATTGCTCTTCTATCCGTATGTTTTAGAGGACTTTTTTGATTATATTGATGTCTACGATGGTCCAAACTCCAGCTATCCATTCCTTGGAACGTATGATTTTCCTATCCAACTTGAAAAGTACAAATGGTTTTCAGGACAGACAACTGGTGGTATCTTCGTGACGACTTCGAAAGTTCCAGCAACTCTGTATCTTTTATTTTCCACACGGATAACATTATCACCGACAAGGGATGGTTACTGACTTGGAATGCCAAGTGAGATCAAGGCAGAGTTCTCAATTTTCTAATCAGCTCTTACAGATCAAACACCCCACCAATCAGCCAATCGGGTCAGAACGGATCATTCACATCTCCAAACTACCCAAATAACTATGACCCTTACACGGAGCAAGTGTATTATATCAGAGCTCCAGTGGGATTCCAGGTCAATGTGACAATCACTGATTTCGTCACAGAGTCCACTTTCGATGTTCTGGAAGTGTACAATTCATCGTATGTCAGTTCCAGTAATCTTATTGCAAAGTGAGAAATGATCTCAACGTATTTGGATTTTCAGTCAAATTCTTTTTCAGTTTGTCTGGGTCAGCGGTTGCTCCATGGTCTTGGCTTTCTCCATCTCGTTATGTGACGATGAGATTCAAATCTGATTATATGGTTCAAAAGAAAGGATTCTCACTTTTTTGGATTATTCAATGAAACTTTTATTTGAAGAAGTTGATTTACTAAGCTATTAAGTTAGCTAATTATTTATATTCTTTACGATTTCTAGCTCTTCCGTGTCTTTAGTGATAACTGTATTACGCAAATACATTTTGAAACTGAAGTTTGATACACTTTTTGGGCACATAAAAAGTCGTAAATTTAGTGTGGCTTGACGAAGTGCCTTTGCTCCTCTGCTCCGGTAGCGATAAAAAAGAAAGGTAGTCAGTCGAGACGATATGATCTGTGCTGTTGTGACCGCGCTGCTCCTTGCGTCAGCCACTCAAGGTGAGTTTAATTTTAAGAGTTGGAGATTGATGGTTCCAATGATTTCCAGTTGCCACCGCTGATGTCAACCATTGTCCCACTGGATGGACATTTTCCACGAACACCTCCTATTGTTACATTCAATCTCCTCAATACATGACCTATGCAGAAGCAGATCCATTCTGCCAGTCCATTGGAGGATCACAAGTGTTTATATTCACATCCAGAGAACTGACTTGGCTCACTGACTTCACTTCCTCGTCATTTGCTCCACCATGGCTAGCTACAAAAAGAAACACGACAAATGGTAAATGGTACAATTCGGATAACACGACGCCACTGTTAAGCTATTGGAGTATTGGAGAGCCGGGCATCAATGGAGACTGTGCAACATTCAAAGGAACGAGTAGTCCAGGATTGAAAGCTACACAATGCTACAGTATGCAACCAGCATTGTGCAAGCAGATGCCAGCACTTTGTCCAACCCAAACTAATTATGGTGGATTAAGCACGAGAACTGGAACTATTCAGTCTCCGGGATATCCAACACAATACTACAACAACTTGAATTGCTTATACACCATTACATGTGAGTTTGAAGTTGGCGACTTCCAAAATAGGTATATTTTTCAGCTCCACCTAACACCTATATCACTATGCTATTTTCTCCATACGTCGTTGAAGACTATTTTGATTACATTAATGTCTACGATGGTCCGAATGCCTCCTTTCCATATCTTGGAACGTATGTTTCCTCCTGTCTCTAAATTATGAACGACATTATTTCAGAACCGATAATGGCTATTGGTTACGAGACGATTTCGAAAGTTCCAATAACTCGGTCTCTTTTAAATTTATCACAGATAAAATAATCACTGACAAAGGATGGCTATTGACCTGGAACGCCAAGTGAGAATAGATTTCTTATCAATTCAATTTATGTTTTCTTTATTTTTTTTTAATTCTATAGATCAAACACCCCACCAATCCGACAAACAGGTCAAAACGGATCATTCACATCTCCAAACTATCCGAATAACTATGATCCGTACACGGAGCAATTGTATTATATCACAGCTCCAGTCGGATTCCAGGTCAATGTGACAATCACTGATTTTGTCCTTGAGCAGAATTACGATGTTTTGGAAGTGTATAATGCGTCATATGTCAGTGCTAGCACTCTCATAGCAAAGTGAGTATAACATTTATTTAATCTATGGTAACATCAAAAAGTACAAATTAATGGGGGTTTTTTCCAGCCTTACTGGTCCATCCGTTGCACCATGGTCCTGGTTATCTCCTTCTCGTTACGTGACGATGAGATTCAAGTCGGATGCAATTGTTCAGAAGAAGGGATTCTCACTTTTCTGGATCATTCAATAAAAATATTTCATTTTGTGCACACTTTCAGAAGTTTCAGAAGTTCCAGAAATCCCAGAAATAACTAAGCGCTACAATCAGACATGCAGGTTTTGAATTTCGAAACTTCTCCTCCATAAAAAGCACATAAAAAGTCATAAATTTGACGTCTCTTGACAAAGTGCGGTTGCTCCTGCTCCGGGAGCGATAGAGAAGAAGAAACAGTATAAGGAAATAGTCAGTCAAGACGAAATGATTGGTGTTGTAGTGACCGCTCTGATTTTTGCATCGTCAGCTCAAGGTGAGTATTGGATTTTCAAGCATTTTAGTGCTATCGAAAATCAGAGATATGAATGAACATTGTTTCAGAGAAGTTCAAAACTAGTTTATTCAAATAGCATAATGCCAATTTCTGTTTTGTTTTTTTTCATAATTAAAAAACGTAACTGAAAATGTATTTGTTAGTAATCTAGTATCAGTTGTTTAAAATATATAAATATGGATTTCGTGACCTGAATTTATGATTTAAAATGTTTATAATTTCCAATAGTCACTGCTGATGTCAATCATTGCCCCACTGGATGGATATTTTCCACCAACACCTCCTATTGTTACATCCAATCTCCTCAATACATGACTTATTCGGAAGCAGGTTCCTTCTGCCAATCCATTGGAGGATCTCAAATATTCGTTGTCTCATCCACAGAACTCTCTTGGCTCACCGACTTCACCTCCTCTTGGTTAGCTCAACCATGGTTAGCAACCACAAGGAACACGACAAATGGTAAATGGTACAACTCGGATAACACAACTCCACTTTCCACTTATTGGACTACTGGAGAGCCGGGTGTCAATGGCGATTGTGCGACTTTTAAAGGAACAACTAAATCGGGAATCAAAGCTACACAATGCTACAGTATGCAACCGGCATTGTGCAAGCAGATGCCAGCACTTTGTCCAACACAAACAAAATATGGAGGATCTAGCACGAGGTCTGGAATTATTAATTCTCCCGGGTATCCAGTACAGTATTATAACAACTTGGACTGTTTCTACTCGATTTCCTGTGAGTATGGTATTATTTTCCGATTATTATGTAGAGTTTCAGCTCCACCAAACACTTATATCACATTGCTATTCTATCCGTATGTAGTATACGATTATTTTGACTACGTCAGTGTTTATGACGGCCCTAATACCACTTCTCGATACCTCGGAACGTAAGCTTCATTTGGAGACTCCCAGAATACTTTGTTGCAGAATCGACGATGACGGTTGGGACCTTCGTAATGACTTCGAGAGTTCTAATAATTCCATCTCATTCCGATTCCGTACGAACAGCGTCATTACAAACAAAGGATGGCAACTAACATGGAATACCAAGTGAGCTTTAGTCTTATCAATTTGTGATCAATCTCTGACTTTATTCTATTTTTACAGATCAAACACCCCACCAATCAGACAAACAGGTCAAAATGGATCATTCACATCTCCAAACTACCCAAATAACTATGACCCTTACACGGAGCAATTGTATTATATCACAGCTCCAGTCGGATTCCAGGTCAATGTGACAATTACTGATTTTATCACAGAGTCCACTTTTGATGTTCTGGAAGTGTACAATTCGTCGTATGTCAGCTCATACACTCTTATAGCAAAGTACGCTTGAATGTGGTTACAGTAACCCGTCTAGTTTTTTCCAGTCTATCCGGCTCCGCAGTTGCTCCATGGTCGTGGCTCTCTCCGTCTCGCTATGCCACAATGAGATTCAAATCCGACTCGATGATCCAAAAGAAAGGATTCTCTCTGTTCTGGATCATTCAATAAAAATTGTGTTCTTCTTCTTATTCTTTGTCCATGTATTCTTCTTCTGATAACTTTCCAAAGTTATCTGGTAATAGTGCTCTCTATTACGCAAATCGAAATGTGGCACGAGGTCGTAAATTCTTCTTCTATCGCTATAAATTTGCGAAAAAAGAAGTAAATTTTTGTTTTATGTCAGTAGCGGTGAAGAGATAACACCCACTGATCAGTCGGTTGAGAATGGTTGCCGCTATATTGACCGCTCTGATTTTTGCTTCTGCTTTTAATGGTAAGGAGGATATTAAATGTTGATACTGATTATAAGCATTTGAACAAGCGTGTTGAAAAAAGGGTTTCAGATCAGAGTAAACTGTTTTCTGGAAAATGAGTTTTGGTGTTTCTGAATTTTAAATATCAGCCTAGAGTCTAGTTATATTTTTTCGTCAATAAGTTCTTCATAACTTCCCATGTTTCCAATAACAGACCGTCCGTTCAACCATATTGAACTTATTTCCCTTTCTTAAATAATTGACCAACAGTGAAATATATTTGAAAACATATGTACCGTAAGAACTATAATGGAACGCTACACCTAGCTTTCAATTTTGAGACAATTTATCTCGATTTCTGTGAAAGATATCAGAAAGTTTTCAACTAATAAATTGTTTATCAAAACATCAAAAATATTTTGTCGGTTGACTACTTTTTAATATCTTTTACAAGAAATGAGATGTATGGGCTCAAAGGTGGCCGTTTGGGAAGCGTTCTATTAGAATGTTTACTGTAAAAAAACCTTTTTTGAATATATGATTTGTTTTCGAATTAATGATAAGGATATCAGTTGCTTTCGAGCACTGGCCACTCAGAGTCATTTCAATTCCAGATGTGTCCTCTGTGAATCTCTGCCCAGATGGCTGGTCGTTTGGCAATGAAACCTCCTACTGCTATCAAATCTCGGACCGATACATGACTTATGCTGAAACCGACAGCTACTGTCAATCCATCGGAGGACGTCAAGCCTTCATTATGAGCACCAAAGAGCTCACATTCTTCAGTTATTTCACATCTGGTATGTTTGCTCAACCATGGTTAGCCATCACTAGAAACACGACAACTAATGTCTGGCATAACTCTGATGGAACAACTGCATTCTCGACATGGTGGACTACAGGAGAGCCAAGTGTTAATGGTGATTGTGCCACATTCAAATCCACTGATAAAGCAGGAATGAAAGCTACACCATGTTATAGTGTACAGCCAGCAATGTGTAGGCAAATGCCAGCATTGTGCCCTACGACGACAAACTACGGAGGATCGTACTCTCGAACTGGAACTATCAAGTCTCCTGGATACCCAGATCAATACTATAACAACCTGGATTGCTGGTATGTGATTAATTGTGAGTTAGACTATACTTGTAAAAGGATAATAAAAAGTAAGCTTCAGCGCCCAACAACACGTACATCACCCTTCAATTCAGCCCATATCTGGTCGAACGAACATTCGATTATATTCAGGCGTACGATGGACCAAATGACACTTATCCGTATCTGGGAAAGTACGTCTGGATCTTGAGCTTTTGTTTAATATTCTAGGGATTTTTAGAACCGATGAATACACAAATCCTCGTTACGATTTTGAAAGTTCTTCTAACGTCGTCTCTTTCAAATTTCACACCGATAAAACTATCACTAACAACGGGTGGCTGCTCACATGGAATGCTCAGTGAGTTTCCTTATCACTCCGTTTTTTTCCAATCTTTAATCTTTTCAGAGTGTACTCTGCCCCAATAAATCAAACAGGGCAGAATGGAACATTTACCTCTCCTAACTATCCAGACAACTACGGTCCGTACACTGAGCAATTGTATTATATCACAGCTCCAGACGGATTCCATGTCAATGTCACACTGGATGACTTCCTAACAGAAGCTAGATTTGATGTGTTGGAAATTTATAATTCGTCTACAGTACTTCCTAATAATCTTGTGGCAAAGTAAGCGATAAGACTAGAAAATTTATAAACGGGAAAAATCATTTTCAGTCTCTCCGGTAACGCTACAGTTCCTTGGTCCTGGGTATCACCATACAGTTACGTCACGATGAGATTCAAATCGGATGGGTCGGTTCAAAAGAGAGGATTCGAAGGATATTGGTTCATTACTTTCCCTTGATAAATTACGTAAAAGCTCTGTATAAAAATTGTTAGATAAATGTTCTATTTAACGTTTTATTTCAATAAAAGAAAAATGCGTTTTCTAAAATTGGCCACAGTTGTAGTGGTATCTGGAGTCACTCTGTTCGTTGTTTATCGATGTTACAAGTATGGATCAGTGTTTCGGGAGCAGAAGAAACAAGAAGACAAAAGAGAAGGGGATTCATCATCTGGAGAGACTTCTGGATCTGTCAGTAGATCAGCATCCCCAATGACTACTAATAAAAGAAAGAGTGAGTATTTGCACTGAGGCCAAAAATCGGCTTCCGTCGACCGACCGCCAACCCAGCCGAATACAAGAACTCGGTCAACTCGGTCTGCTTTTGCTCGGCTGAGTCGACGGTCGGTCAGTCTGTCGGTCTGCTGAATCAATTTTTTTTTCAAAAATCTCCTTTTCCAGAGAAGCGCCATCGTCGTCGTCGTGCCGCTCGTCCACGTACAACTCCAACAGCTCTTCACGAATCTAGCACTGACTCCTCTGTGGTTATCAATAAATAGTTTCCGGCCTTTTTTACCATTCATGATTCATTGATTCCTCATTTTTCATTTTTGCATTCAAAACTCAGGCAAACAATAAAAATCGATTTCACACTTCCCACACACTTCTTCTTCTTCTTTTTCCTCTCTTCTCCATGCACAACAAAAACATTTTTTCAAGTACAAATACAGGGATCGTTTTGACTGATAAGCATACAAGCGAGGTGGAGGAAAAATACATTTTCATATCACTGACTCATCCTCCTCTCATTCCTTTTCCTATTTTTTTTGCTTATTCTCATTCTTGTTAGCTAAATTCCTTTTTCTAGAAGATGCTCCGATTCCTGATACTCTTTGCCACGTGCCATACCGTAATCCAGAGTGGATTCCCTGATTATACACCCTACACATATCCCGATTCAATGACACAATCTGAACTGTGCGGTCAGACAAAACCATCGTTTTTCTGCGACCCAAATAATATTGTGTCATGGAAAAAAGTCGTGAGTAAAGATGGAAACGAAACAATAGAAGAAGAAGAGAGTTTTATGGAGAAGGAATTACTGTATGTTCGTGGTGAGACAAATTGCTCATGTCTCCGTCCAGCGATGTGTTTGAAATCTCCACCTCGAGGATTCACCATCTCCATTGCAGTTGTAGGAAAAATGCATTTGGATCACAATGAGACGTAAGTATTATTGTTTCGTAGTTAGTTGAAAATCAAAATTTCTCATTTTCAGTTCTCGTGACTCGATTCTTCAAGCCGCCAAAATTTTCGCCGACGTCATCAGAGACCGTCAGAATCGTGGCCAGTGTGACGACGATATGGTGATTTTTTTGTCAACTAAAGATGAAGTTGTCTACACATCAATTGGTTCTTCTATAAGAATTGATGATTCGGTGATCAAGAGAATAGCGGAGCAAGGAGAGATATTTTTCAAGAAAGAGCAGTATCGGGAAGGATTGGAATGGATGACCAAGCAGTATAAACATGTGCTGAAGCATGAGAAAATCGAGAACCGTAAGTGAATTTTAGAATCTATGAGTCTTAACATCTCAAATAACATTCATTTCAGTCTGGAAATGGCCTCTTCCTGAATGGGTTCTTATTGCTCTTGTCTTTTTTGTACTTGTGATCATCGTGGCTCTACTCGTCACACTAATCTACTGTTGTATTCGTTTCTATCGCCGGGATCGTCGCGACGAATATTCTATGGTTGAGAACTAAAGATTTAACATTCAAATTATTTTTTCTGGAATTATTCTTTGTGATCTGATTGTTATGGGTATATTTCTTGTAGACTCTCTCTTTTCCAATAAATAAATTATCGTGCGCTTTTTCTTCCTTCCTCCATGCCGTCTTTCACATCTCCAGATGGTGTAATACAGGATTCTGACATGGATCGAGTGTGGAGAAGGATCGGAGTTCGGCGGGGAGATTCCATTCGAGTTCCTTCAATTCTTGCAGTTGTTGCACTGCTCGTGGGAAGTTCCATTGAGTTGTGTGTGGTTGCTGGAATTAAGTTTATGCGTTTTTTTCGTAGTCTCCATTAAGTTTGGTCTATGTCACCCTATACTTGCACTTTGAGATCAATTATCTTGGTTCCTTCAAAGGATTTCAAAAATCTGTCAACTGATAAAATGTTGGTAATTTTACGAAAAAATTTCATCAGTTGATAAATTTTGATATTTTTTTAAAGAAAGGGAGATAATTTGGGCTATAAGTGCCAGAATAGATCGTTCTTCTGAGTTTATCTATAATCGAAAAATTAAAAAAAAATCTGATTCTATATTTTACCCCATCCAGATATATCCCACTCAAAATAGTACAATTTTTCTTGCGTCATTCCTATCAAGTAAAACCTCTACTTTTCTATTTTCAAGGGTACTCACAATTAGTTGTAGCCGGTGTCATGTCGTACTTTGGCGGTGAATGAGATTTGATCGAATCCTCATACGTCGGTGGTTGCTGATTATGATGTCGATGGAGAGACATCAAAGCATTCGGATCCAGAACATAACCTGCAAAAAATCAACTATAGCTTCTTCTTATTCTTCCGTTCTTTTTTCTTTTTCGCATGAATCTCAGTGACCCACTATTTTCTTCAGAAACTAAAACACACACTCGTTTTATTTTCACATTTGCTTTCAATTTTATCACATTTTTAGAGTCCTGTTTACTCGATCCCCGGGATTCCGTTCTCTTTTTTTGTTTGAAATATACGTTTGTTGGATTTATTCGTTTTGTGGGTTCGATCTCATAGTCAGCGGAAATTGAATCTGGATTAAGAGACAAGAGTATGGATCACATTGTTCTGGAAATCTGACACAAATGATTTTTATTCTAGGCAGTCTAGCCGGAAAAGGTTATGATGATAAGTTTGTGTGGGTTTTTGCTAACTGGCAATTCTGGAGAAATTAAAATTCTATCGTGGAATATCACATATTCCACGAGTCTTTAATCTCAAATGAGGAAAATCCTCTCTAATGTTCTTTCAGGTTTCTTCAGATCTTTTACACCCCAACGGCCTGCATTCAAACTCCCGCCAACGTCACCAGTTTGAAGCGACTCGTGCGTACACTCCACCAACAACACGCTTCTCCGGCGCCAAGTTCAAGTCACCTGCTCAAACATGTCACATTAATTCTCTCTTATCTTTGAGATGACCTTAAGTCATCTTTCGCTAACCTTTTCTCTATAATTATATTTAATAAAGACTTAGTAATAAGTCAATGTTCTTTCTATTGACATTTAGGTGCACAGTTTCTAATTGCTCACATTCGTTGAACTCTTCATCGTTTTCTCTCTTGTCTTCGACGTCGAACCAATTGTGTCACTGTCTCTGGCAGTGGACCACAAAAAATTCCCCATATATAAAAAGTAGACATTTAAAACTAATATATGGTACATGCCATTTTCCATTCTTGTCAACAAACACATTATTATGTAGGTTTATTGTAATACAAACTGCTTTAGATTTGGAGAGAAAGTCCAAAAGCGTCTTGAGGTTTTGAAGGAAATTACTATGCTTCAAATTGAATTAAAATTTCACTTTGTATAAAGACATTCTGATCAATAGTACCGTAAACCTCTAATATAAGGGCCCGCTAAACGTTTAACTATGAGCTAATTTAACTTGATTCCAGTGAGAGATATGAAAAAGTTTTCAACTTGTAGATTGCTTATCATGATATCACCAAAATTTTATCAAATGGCACTCATTTGATATCTTGTATACCAGCCAAGACAAATCAGTTCAAACTTGGCAGTGTTGGGGACCTTCTATTACAGGCGCTATTGTCAATTCAAAAAGATCGCACCGGTGAACTCACAAACAAACAAGTAAACAAGGGGGCGGAGCGATCCGCCCCTTTTCGCAAAGACGCCGCGCAGTTTTTCGACGGTATTTTAGCGATGCCGTTTTTCGGTAATTTTTCATCGAATGTCTTCCGAATTGAAGGAAATTCGTCGACTTTGTGAAGGAATATATAACTTTGTTATTATAAAAACTGAGAAACACAATTGGGAAACACTATTCTTTGATTCAGGCTGAAAATGAAATGAGCAAGACCATATGACGTATCGAATCCTGCAATGATGAAAATAAGAGGTAGAAAAGCTTCGAGGCCACATAAAACATAAATTATCATTGCAAAGTTTCCTGAAAACCTGAAAAACTCGATCGGGGAAGTATTTGGAGTAATTTGTCGACTAACAGCAGATTATTCATCACTTCTTCATAGTTGTGATACCAGAAGGCAATTTTTCTTATTAGTTGATGGATGAATTAGAAAAAAATCGACAGATTTCCTTCAATTCGGAAAAAATTCGATGAAAATTACCGAAAAACGGCATCGCTAAAATACCGTCAAAAAACTGCGCGGCGTCTTTGCGAAAAGGGGCGGATCGCTCCGCCCCCTTGTTTACTTGTTTGTTTGTGAGTTCACCGGTGCGATGTTTTTGAATTGACAATAGAATTTTTATGGACTGACTAAAAGCTGACAGATCTCCCAAGAAAAAAAATGAAAAAAAAAATCCAAAACTGATTCCTTACTTGATCGCTTTTGCTATCCTCCTGATCTCCTGTGATTTATAGCATAACACTCCCACATAGCAAATTCCCTGTGAATAATCTTTGAGATTCGTTTATCAGAAAACACATATGTCCTTTGGTTTGACGTAGTTTCCCTACTAGTCTCTCTTGATGTTTCCTAATGTTTCCTAATGTTCTCTATTTTTGCCGGGATTCCCCTTCTATTTCAAAAGATCCTTATCAAAATTCAGTTTCCAAAAATATCGCCTTGACGACTTGTTGTAGACAAAGTGCTCATTTTGCATTCTAGGTCCTTGGTTTGGGCGTTTCTCTATATTCAATGTCCCGTATCCACGTCATATTGACATTTCCATTTGTCGTGACATCTGACACTTTTATGAAGCCAAGACCCAACATTCAGTCGACTACTTCTTCTATACAATGTTCCATTTCGAAAAGAACCTTCTTCCGTCCTACATGACTCCCAAGGGGTTCATCATTGCAAAGAGAATAAGAAAAAAAGGGCAAAATGGAAGATTTCATCATGATTTCACTTCTACCAAAAGGATTCAGAATAAGGAGAAGAACAAAAAGAAGAATAGGGGGAGAGTCATGTATTTACGCGGAAAAGGGAGCGGATTTCAAAACATGAAATATTCATCTAGGACCTTCCTTTTTTCCTGACACAATGGGGTCGCCTTGCGGACATTCCCTTTTCACTCCCTTTTTTTTCCATTCGACCCTCATTTTTTTCCCACATTGCTCTTTTTTGGAGCCACACACGGACACGAGGTTGAGACCCTCATCACAATGGGAAAAAAGGATGTTCTTTTTTGCATCTGACAGGTTGGTTCATGGCTTTGAATTGTGTTAGTAGAGAGAAATAAAGAGTGAAATTGAGATAAAAAGAAAAAAGGACTCGGAAAGGGTGCGTAGAATGTTTTAGGTCTAACTCCGAGGTCATGTCTGGGTAGGAAATACAGTAGAATTTAGGAACTGGGGTTATGAGGAAGCTAATTTTTAAAGTTTATATTATTTCAGATTTTCTAGGAATAGACTCAGAGAATAGGAATCAAAGGTTGTGAGTCTATAAAATAGCATGTTTCAGAAATTCGAAAAATGTATTTTCCAGTGTTTTTGAAATTTTCTTAAAAATTTGTTCGAAAATATTGAAAAAAGGTTACCATGAACAAACTAGGATAGAAGGTTCCCCCGGTATTTTGTCAGCTGACCCCTTTTTGATATATTTTACAGGAAACAAAATATATGGGCTCAATGTTGACGGTTTTTGTTGGCAATCGTTTGAGTGTATACGGTAGTTGTAGGGAACGGTTGTTCAGGTTTTTTGGATTTCAAAAATTCCAGATTTTAATTTTTCAGATGATCTTCTTTTCGAGATTTGCAAAATCCTATTTACTTCATTTCCCTCCTCCTCTTTTCCAAATTACTAGTTGCCCTATTTTCTCAAAGTTTTCTCAAAAACAAGATTTTCAATTTTTGTCCTCTTCCTATTTTTTCTCGAGCAGCAAGAATTGGTGTTTTCATGTCTTGGTCAGAATCTTTCAAATTGCCTTCTTCTTTTTTTTGTACAAAATCATAAATCCAACGTATATGCCGAGTGTGCCGGTTGGTTGGGTCAGAATCTCTCTATCGCCTCTCAATCTCTTTTTTTCGCTGTTTCTTCGTTTAATTTTATGACACCCAAAGAGCCCGAGGACACTGACAGAACATACGGCACACACGTGTCTCTCTCTCTCGATGGTCTTCTTGTTCCAAACACCGGTCGTCGTGGTTTGACACATACATCTATTTGAAATTGAAGGATTATCTTCATTGTGTCTTTCGCCTTTTCTCACTTCTTCTTCTTCTTCGCGGAGAGCAAAACTAAGAAGCCCTCGTTTTGGTAGGGCGAGTAGAATGGGTGTGAAGTCGGTCGTTTGTCAAATTGTTTCCGTTTAGATATACAAGAAGACGTCAGGAATGAGAGATTCCCATTATTTCAAAGTTCTACCTTTTATTTAACGAAAGTACCGTATTTAGTCTGATAGAAGCCCACCCAAATCGTCAAATTCAAGCTCGATTATCTCGGTTCCTATGAGAGATATTAAAAATTTGTCCACTAGTAAAATGACTACCATAGTTTCATCGAAATTTTATCAGTCGACAACTTTTTCATATCTTAGACAGGAACCACGATAAATTGGTTCAAAGTTAAAAGTTGTCCAGGTTTTACGGTAATCAGTATCTGTTCTATATTGTTTGAACACTGCATTTGAGAAAATATTCAAAAATTTTCACAAGTATGTACTTTTCAGGTGAAAATTGGTATTGAAACTTTTTGTGCTCTAATGTCATAGATTTTGATCAGCTAAAAGGCTAAGCGTCAAAGTGCGTCCAACATCTGTCATTCAAAAATAAAAGCTCAGACTGAAATACCGACTAATTTGAAGGAATACGGTACATGAGTAGTCTGTTCAAATTTTAAAAAATTCTTGTTAGCTTCATAGAACCTGACACATTTCTATTATCAGTCTCCAATTCAATTCCAACTTCTTATCAATCAACACACTTTGATAACGCCAGCTATGGATTCGCCGACTCCCTTTTCAATCTAACACAAACTTTCAGTTGTCGAGTACAGTATTCTAAAAATTCCTATTCTTCTTTTTTCAAAAAAAAATCTAATCCCTTCATCCTTTCTTCCTTTCCTTCCAGAACCCACTTTGTACATTTTCCAACAACCTATACCTAACTATCTATGTTTTTCAAATTTCCTTTTCAACAAAACCTTAAATTAGTGGAAATGGGGCTTTGAGAGAGCAGGTGTTTTTTTTCAAAAGATTGTTGGTGCAGAAGGGATTTTTATGCATTCATATTATTAGGATTTCACCGCTTTCAACTCGAAAAAAAAGCGAATTTAAGCAGTGATCAGCTCATCTTTGTGGGCTATCTGGCTCTTAAA